TCTTACTATTGACATTTTTTGTGTTACTGTTGTGCTTTTAGATTATGGGAATTGGTCAACAACTTTCAAATAGTGTCACAGTTACCTTTCTGATTATTGTTGGAATGATTATAATACAAAGCAGTGTAGAGTATGGAATGAATTTACCAAGTATAAAAAGCAATGTTTTGTGGCTGGGAATTTAGCTCAGGCAGCACAAAGTCATGAATTCGAATCCTGATACGGGATGAAAACAGCAAACAAACAAACAAACAAGGAAAAAAACCAATTTTTTACACCATTAAATGGGATCAATAGCAATGGAGGCAGATTGTTTTTTCTTTTTCTTTTTTTTTTTTGTTCAGTACCTGGAATTGAACTTCTGACCTCAGTCTTGCTAGGCAAGCGCTTTTGCTGCTGAGCTATATCCCCAGCCCTCATTTTTTAATAGAAGTGGGAGGGCTGTGTTCCTCAGAAAGTTCTCAAAACTTTTTATTATTTTAATATAATAGGAGAAGCTAATGATGACATTATAGAATACATTCAAAGAATTAGCACAATGACATGAAAATGTAACTAAAGTCATTAGGGAAGGGTTAAGTATAGTGGGATTTTAATATGGTTTATATGCTTTGATTTAAGGAACAAAATCCGTTTCGGAATATTGAAATTAGTATGAAAATAATGGATGTGTTAACTTGCTTTCATATAGAAAGTGGTTTGCTTTTGTATATATCCACATCATCATGTCGCATATCATAATAAACAGAAAGGTAAATTTAAAGTAGCATGGACAGTATAATCCTTAAGTGCTTTAAAATTTAAAGCTGTTGACATATTTATGTTTTTCTGTTGGAATAATTTTCTAATGCTCCCTAACAAACCTTGATTTTCTGCTTTCATTACTCTTCTTGAAGTTATTAGTATTATGCTTAAATCTTACAAAAAATTTCCCAAGAAATCTTGAACAAAATATCATGAAGGTCATAAATGCTTTTGATTGATTTTCATCAGGTGCTAAGTAAAAATTTGTATTCATGAATATCTTTCTGTTCAGATTCTCCCTGAACCCTTCTGCTTTATTCAGAATTTACATAAAATCTTATGCAGAAAATGAATAATACTCACGAAGGGTTGTTCATGACTTCCTTTAGTGCATTGACCAAATCTGCAGTTGACATTGTCTTGAAATCCAATGCAACAGCTGCTCCTTTGGCTTCCATGTGAGCTATGTTATCATGTTGTTCCCCAAACAAAGGAATGCCCACCATAGGGACCCCGTGGTTGATGGCATCGTAGATGCCATTGGCTCCTCCATGAGTTACAAAAGCTTTGGTTTTGGGATGACCTGGAATTAGGCGAATTTTAATCATGTTATTGAGTATAAATCTTAGACAAAATATGAGAAATGTCAGGAGGTGATAAGAGAAGAAATATTTTTTATGAAATTACTATTGATCCTTTTTTATTGATGTTAGGTTGCTTTGCACCTCAGAATAAAACATACCAAAATCTACTTGCTGGTAGGTGAAGATTTAATGACAGAGATATGGTGTGACTTGAGAGTTCAACAACAGGTACATGATATAGTAGAATAAATAGAAATACTAATGAAGAAAATGAAGCAAGTGACAAACAAGACCTTGTGCATGCCAGAACATTCCTTCCTTTAAAAAAATATAATGCTTTCAGTAAGTCTGATGTGAAGATTTTTCAAAGCTTCAAGAGAGGTAACTGAAATATGAGGAAATGTGTTATTACTTTACAATGAACCATTTATGTTGCATTTTTTTTCTACACAATATATTCATTGTGGATTAGTCAACACTGACCTTTGAGTACCCTTAATTTAGGGGAACATATTAGTTAGTTTCTTGATCTGTGGGTCAGAGATACAACCCACTTAATTAAAAATTCTTAATATGAGGTTACTGGCACTAGGTAAAGGTTATTTCTGACCATAAAGAAGAGACTGTATTATCAATGCAAACTATTATGTTTTACTTCTCAACAGACTGGGAAAAGAATACAAGAAATTTAAATTTAACTTTTAACTTTGCAAGAATAAATGGTCAGAGTGCTTTTTGCTTTTTATTAAAGCATCATGAGTGAATTCACCATTATCAGGTCTTCAGTGTTTGTGCTTGAGTACCTTACCGAGTAGGTCATTCTGGGGGATCCAGTCATGCAGTTGAGTATTGGGTTGTAAAGTATCAGGTGTCTTGCCACTGTATCTCCAAATAACCTAATAGATAAAGAAAATATTTCACTGTACTTGTCAAAATTGAACTCAATGTATACCTATAATTTAATTAGTTCAGGTTAAATATGCTCCATACATTTGTGTATGTATTAGATGAGGAAGTAAGATCAAGAAAACTTACGTTATACTTTCTGTATATTTCTATGTTGTTTGCATTTTGCTACTGTTTTTTTAAAATTCTTTTTAAAATAAAAAAAAAACAAAAAAACCCAAAAATTAAATAATTTGGAAAAGACAAGAACAAATCCAATATAGACCTATTTTCTCTGTAGTTTCATACTAAATTGGATAAGTACAACCATGAGCTTCATATAATGACTAATACGAATGAGATAAAGAATGAAAAATACTACGCTTAAGAAATTCTATGTAGTCGTCCTTCTATCTTTATTTTTATTTGTTTATTTTTGGTTTTTTTCAGGTACCAGGAATCGAACTCACAACCTTGCAGTTGCCATGCAGGCGCTGTGCCGCTGAGCTAAATACTCAGCCCCTCATCCTTCTATCATAGAGTAATGAATTTAAAGATTAAAGTCCTTGTATAAAATGTACCTTATAAATACAGTATTATCTTTTGTATTTTAATATTAGAGGTAACTTGTTTATTCTACATATTATTTTACCAGAGTTTGACCATTGTTTATTTACCAAACTTCATTTTAATCAGACAATGGTGAGAAATCAATAAAAGATTCAAAAATGACTTACATAAAAATTGCTTTAAGTCACAAAAAAGTAGTGTTTCTACCAGGAAATTTTCAATGGCTCTTTCTTTATGAACTCAGAGTGTCATCATTAGTGCTAGGATGAGAAGTTCTTTATGGGTGTTGAAAACTTGCAAAATTGGAAGGCCCTATGTTTTGTTCAAATATTTATTTTGCCCAAATGGACCCTGGTGCATATTCACAGAACAGAAAATATGATTTATCACAGTCAAAGCATTTCCATGCCTAATCTTAGGGTAATATAATATTTAGAAATACCCAAGTCACCTACATGGAATGAAACATCATTTATTAATGCATTATTTCCATTTACTATGAGACTGTTAGGGATAACTTCTGGATCTCATCTTATAGTGTACAATACTGATAACAAGAATAATATAGCTATAGAAAATGTAAAAGTAGTTCATAAATATTTAACTATTAAATTTGTATTATATGTAACAGAAAACTTCTTACCTCTACTTACTTCTTTCTATTGCAGGCTTGATTAAGCGTGAATATTTCTCACTATACTCCTTCTTAATCAATTACCTGGAAGTTTGAATCTGGTTCATAGCAAACAGTTTCTTTGTGAGACATATTTTATTGATGAACTGACTTAACTAGAAAAGCATGGCCCCCTTTCCACCCCTCTCCTACATCTTCCTCTTTTAGATGTTAG